CAGACTGTGGACAGAGAGTAGCGGCTGGCCAGAAAGGTGAGCTGGGCGGTGGGGAGGAAATCTGTAGCCCCAGCCGCCCAGCCTAGGGCTCCTGCTTCCAGAATACATCAGCTGGGGTGTGGGGATTCTCTGAGGAAAGGGAGGTCCCAAGAGGGTGGGGACCGGGCAGAACCACTGGAGGAAGAGCCAGGTGGCAGAAGGAAGACAGGAGCAGGAGGCTCGTGGCAAGCCCGGTGGCCCGGGCAGGGCCGGTGCTGGCTCCGGCCCTCTCACCTGAGCGTCTCCACTCGGTCTTTGCTTTCAGGTTCATTCAGGTTCCTCAAAAAACAGAGCGAGGGAGAGTTTAGTGCTGGGACCTCTCGCTCCTTCCGCCGCCGCAGACCCAGGCGAGGGTGGGTCTGGTGAGGCGCCACTGGTGGGTGAGCGGGACCCGAGCCCGAAGGCCACTCGCCCGTCACCTGGCAGGCCAACACGGCTCTGCAGCACCTCACGCTGGCGGCTCGCCTGTCCCTTTCCGGCAGGGAGCCCGGCACATGGGGCCTGTCCCCCCCCACGCTCCCAGAGCTCTGTGCTGGGGAGAAGGAGCCTCTGCTCCAGGGAGGGAGGGAGGGGGGTGTGGATGTGCAGGCACACGCATGGAGCACAAGCCACAGCACGAGGCAGCTCCCCCACCAGCCCACAGCCAGGGCCTCACGCTGTGAACGGGTCTTCAACATCAGCATACCCAGGCCCCAGAGCCCTGGTCCTCTCCAAGGGAAGGGGCTGGGCTGGGCTGGGGGGAGGCGGGGAGGGAGGGCAGACAGAAGCCTCTCCCGGGAGGCTCAAAGGGCCCAGAGCTGGAACTGCCTGGGGATGGGTGCCTGGGGAAGGGGAGGGGGAGAAGGGCCCGAGGCAGGCCGTGGACAAGCCCGCCTCCCCCATTCTTTTATGACTCCCCTGCCTGCCAGGCTGCCAGGCCATCTGCTTGTACAGAACGGAGGAGAGAGGGCAGGGCAGGGCCAGCACCTCAGGAGGGTGGGTGGGGAAGAGGTCTGGCCCCGCTGAGCGGCTTCTCCAGCTCCTGGCGGGAACATGGGTGCCTGGAGCCGGGATACTGGGGACTGCAGAGGCGGGCAGGGATGTGAGGAGGATGAGAGAGAGCGGCAGCGGCACACGGAAAAGGAACACGAAGACACAACAGACACACGAATGCACACCAGCGCACTGCGAGCGGGGAGCCCGGGCTGTGCAGGGGAAGGAGCCTGCTGCTCTCCCCAGCCCCACCTGGTTCCTGCCCTGTGGGTGGAGGCGCCCTGTCACCGGGGCCTGTGAGTCAACAGCTAGCCATGCAGTGAAGAGCTGGGTGGGGAGCAGTGGGTGGAAAGGGGAAAGCCTAAAGACCCCGTCTTGGCATTAGTCAGTTGGGTCACCAACGTGCCTGCCGGTGTCCTAGCCCCAGCACGGGGCCTGGGCCGACAGCCTTGGGGAACCAGTGCTACCAACCCGGCCCTTGGGTCTTCAGTTGGGTATGTGGCCCACCCAGGCCTCCAGAGAGGATGAGGACAGGGCCAGAGGGTGGTGGCCCAGCCAGGATCCAGTCTAGGAAGGGAGATGTCTGAGGGAGGGGGCGGGATCTCCCACTGTTTTGCCAGGACTATGGGGTAGGTGGCTCCCGCCCCAGAACATCCCGGCCCCCGGCTCTCTGGAAGCCATTGTCCTCATGATTCGTCCAGATACGTCCTGCTGGAGGCAGGAGGTGTGCTGGGTGGTGGTGGGGTGGGGGGCTAGTTCTAACAGGAGCTGCCAGAAGGGGGTGCCGTGCCCACTCGTGAGGCAAAGGCTCCTTGGGCCTGGAAGCATCACGCTGGAGCCTTAGGACCCCGGCGTCCCTGTAGTACTTCCGAAGTCCTGCTATCCACAGGACAGGGGCAAGAGGTCACACAGCTCTGAAGTTCAGGGGACCAGAGAA